TATTTCTTCTCACGACCTATCGCAAAATCAAAATGAAAAATTCATCCGCATTTATTTTTTGTGTGGAACACAAAAAAATCAAATTTCAGTCTTATTTTACATTTTTTTCATTCTTAGGAATGTCTAAATTCAGTTAAAATAGCAATTCCGTATTATATTTATAAATCTTTTATTAAAAGTTATACAAAAATTAGATTTTTCTTAAAAATTGAAATTTTGCCGGGAATGGGGCTTTAAGTATGAATTTGTGATACCATGTAGCCATGCCTATGAATCTTTCAATTGACATTAGTCGGGGTGGGGTACTCTTGCACACTCTGAACTTTCTCTGGGTCGGTTGCTAACCCATGACCTGATAAGATATGGCCCAAAAATTTGATCGATGTTAGACCGTTGCATTTGTGCGACTAACCCTGCCTCCCCAAGTCTAGTGAGGACCTGTTTCAAATGAATTTCATGAGTTTCATTGTCTGGGGAAAATATTATATCATCATCCAAGTATACATAACAAATTTTACCCAACAGTCCCTGGAGAACTTGGTCCATAAGTCTCTGAAAGGTCGCAGGACCATTAGTGACCCCAAATGGCATGACAGTATATTCGAATAAAGCCGACTTTACAAGTAAATGCTGTTTTATATCTGTCGCATTCTGCAAGGGAAATTTGATGGTAACCACTGTTCAAATCGAGCGCAGAAAAAATTCGCACCTGTCAGTGATTCTAAAATGCGACCTATTATTATTTGGAATAGGATATGCGTCCATTTGCGATAGTCTAGTTTAATTTGTGATAGTCTATGCATAGACGATAAGTGTCACCCTTTGGGACTAATATCACTGGCGAAGCCCATGGCGAGTTAGAGGGTCTATCCTCCCATCTTCCAGTAATTTATCAATTGCGCTCTTTAAAGCATCTCGTTTAACTTGGCTCAACCTGTAAGGCTGGCACTTTATAGGTGTACAATCATCAGTATTTATGGTATGTTCGACTATGTCTGTCTTACCTAATATATCTGTAAAAATCAGAAGAAAATTATCAATACAATCATCAAATTCATGCATACCATATAGATTTGACTTATTGTCAGGCATCGCATCATTATCATTAATTACACACTCTTTTTGATCATGAGCATTATTGTACCCATTTCCCAGGATTGGAAACTCAACTTGGTGGTTCTGATCATTTGTTACAAAGTATGACCCTTTTTAAGAATCAATACCAACATTCATGAGTGCTAAAATATCAGTGCCGATCAGTATGGGTATCAGTAATTCGGTGACAACAATAAAACTGTGATTGATACTTTTACCTACAAAATCGAGGTTTATACCTTACCTAAGATAGATAAGTTTTTACCATTCACCATCTTTAAATCAATGTTGTTATCAATTATTATGTTATTGCCAATGTCCAATTTGTTAACAAACTGTTCATCTATTAGGCTGCAGCTGGCACCTGTGTCAGACAATGCGTTTTCATTGATACCATTCACTTTGACAGCCACGAATGGACTGGTCACAAAATCTTGGCAAAGAGCTTGCATGTTTTTCTTTGCGAACGGCTTTGGCTGAAAAGCTGGGGTTTATGGACTCAAAGGCATTGGTGTATTTTTCTCGTTATTTGGTGTTCTCTTCTCTGTGTTTTTATGCCCCAACTGTTTGCAGTGATAACAAACAGGTGTGTTGTATTTACTGGTTACTAAACTTGGATTGTTCAGACTTTGCGTAGCGTTTATTTGTTGTTGCTGTTAGTTGGATTGTTGGCTTTCATTTTCCAATTCATTATGTACTCATCTGCGGATTTCGCTAACTCCTGTGGTGTTGTGTTATTGCCTTTTCCGTCTCGGAGCTTTGACTGGAGATCCGTATTTAAAATTGTACTAAGCAACTGGTCGCTTAAAATTAGGTTGATCATGCGAGTTGTCTCAGGGTTCAACTTCTCTTTGCTAGGAGTGAGCCAGTTAATTGGGTAATTCTCTAGCCTACATGTAAACTCCTCGAATGTTTCCCCATTGCGTTTATGTTCGGTTTTTAAATTTCACTCTATAAGACTTTGAGGAAGTTGGTACCTACAAAGTATGGCCTCCTTTATCTTCCCATTGTCGAGAATATCTTTTCATTTAGTGTGTGGAAGGCCTGCTGTGCCTTTTCAGTCAGAAAGGGCTCAATATAATTTGGCCATGTTTCTTTATCTGAATTTTCTGCTGTAGCCATTCTTTTGAAAGTGGAGAGGTAACAAGTGATATCATCTTCAGCGGACAGTTTATGAAAATTAGGTAGCTTACCAGTTTTTTTGTTTTGGCCTTGTACTTGTACCAAACGTGTTAAAGCTTCCAGTAATGCAGTAGAATCTTCTCCCGCTTGAGACGATCCCTGAACGACATTTTTTGAACTACATCCGGTGAATAAGTTTGGGTAATTTGCATAATACTGCAGTCCTCTCGGCTTTCATGGTTACCGATGATCCATCAATATGGTTTACGTTACAATATTCACCAATATACTCTGCTGTAAAATACTTAAAAAATCTCTGTTATTCTCTGCTTGACTTTGGGCTGCATTATCCACTGTGATTGTTGCACTTTGCTGTTGTTGGCTTTGGGCCACGACGCTGCTGCTAGCCGTTGCGCCGGTACTTGTTCCCGGAGGAGTGGGTTCCTCGTCAATGTCTGACTTTTTCTCGAACACAAAATGAATTCCAAAACAAATCAATAATCCTGCCGACTACGTCAATCTAACGTCCGAACCGGTCTAGCATACGTTACTAAAACACGGGAGACGCCACCAAATAATAATACTACTACGACAGCAAATCATTAAGTATGTATCAACATCACTTTATTAAAAACTCGGACAGACCTCTCGCAGCGAGGCACATCAATCACCGTCTGCCGCCTTCCCGCGGTAACTCATCATGTGACATTACTTCACCATTACCCACAATGCAAAACAATAACAAATAATAGTAACTACAATTACACTTCGCCAATGGAGTTTCAAAATCGTCTTGAGATGTCTGCGCTGCATCACATCAACTTTCTCCAAAGCTGCCCAGGAACTGCAATTATACATGACAACAGATACGATTTGCGCTTTATAAACTTTAATTTTCTTCCTAATTGAAATGTTTGTACCACAAAGCCACATCTTTCTATATTTCTGAAAGGCTGCATTGCCGAAACGACATCTATATTATATATAACATTTTGTGTGGTGCAAAGCATTGATCCAAGCATGGAGGTATACCTCCATGATCCAAGCGATTTCAAAAAACCTCCATGGTTCGTTGCATTTTAAGTGCACGTCATCATTATCAGCTATAGGTGGACGAATTCTCTCTTATCTGGATTGACGTAGATGTCCCATTGCTTAAATACATTGGTACATTTAAGTAAAAAGTCAGTTAAAGACTGTTTCGACTCATCAATAAAATCAGAATCATCAGCATATTGCCACTTTGCTGGCATAAGATTTTCTGTAATTGGAGAATTTGGCAGTGATGGCGCGCAAATGATTCAATGCTGCTGCGAGGACTAAGATAAAAAGATTTCCGAAAATTCAATCACCTTGAAAAGATCCTCTTGTACACACACATTCTGCAGATATTGTGTTGTATTGTAGATAACTATCTACTTTAACTAGTAGCTTTGTGTTTCCAAGTAAGAACCTGACGAGTCGAACATCATCTGTACTACATCCTGCACCATTGAGAAGCCTTAAAATTGTTGTCCTACAAATAGTATCAAATGCACTGGACATTTCTCGCCCATTTTGTGTAGATCAGTTTGTTTCTCAAGTAATACCGAAATCAACATTCTCTGTGCCAAACGATATTTGTGCAACTCATTCCTTGCTTGTATGCACACTGAAAAGTCCCGCTATCTGCATCTGTATTCTATTTAATACGGTACTGTATTCGATAACAATTTTCGACACCCATTTAATAGACAAATTGGTCGAATATAAAAAATAAAGAAAAAGAAATTATTGGTTCCAGAAAACGCCCCAGAGAGTATTTTCGGTCGTCTAGAAAGCAAATATTTGTTGCATGGGGTAAGCCCGGACCCCCTAGGGTAGTGTTGTGTGTCGATGTACCCCCCTTTTTTTGGCCCCTATCTCTTTTCGAACGTCTTTTATCCTTTTATTTTTGTTTTTGGACAGGGTTATTCTGTTTGGCACTCTAGTCACTTTCTGTTTCTTTGATCTTCAAAATTTGTCAAAGCAAATACCATATATCAAAGATATGCATATTAAAATATTACGCATTTTGAGTATTATTAAACGGTAAATAAACGGTACATTTGTCCAATGGTAACGCAGGTGTCTAAGTCGAGCTCAGCGAAGACGGAAATTCTGACGGTGTACAGCAAAAAGGCAATAGCTCGCTTGATTTTGATTTTCAGAATGAATAATAAATAAACTGTTATGTGTCACAATGTTCGTTTTCTGAAGCGTTAAAACTACCTACAGCTGTGTTACAACCTAATGCACTACCTTTTGCACCGTCGGATTCTTCGTTGTAATGGTAAGAGATATCAAAATCACCCTCACTGTTAATATTGCAGCCATAATTTGAGTCTTAGTGAAGTCGAGTTGTTTTTTTTTTACTCATAATTCATTTTTGTATTTCATGTATTATATATTCAACATCACTTCTCATCATTGCAATGGGGAAAATCCCAATGTTTTGTTTTACAGACATAGAAATTCTAGTTTTTAATGTTATTGTTATTTTTATCATTGTCTTTATTGTTATTGTTGTTGTTATTGTAGTAGTAACTTATATTGATAGAGAAAAATATAAATGCAATTTAATATGATCAATTGTGTGTATTAATAATACATCTAAAAAATTATGTTTTTATACTTATAAAAATATTCATTTATTTATTCACTTCCTTTTTAGTGTTGATTATCATTTTGCAATAGTATTGGTAATCATCGATGGTGGGGTATGTATAGAATCTGCGTATTCAATGTATATTCTTTAATCATAGATACTGAAGGCCCTGTTTTAAGCTGTCCAACGTACTCTAACAACATGATTTTAAGCGTATCCAAATTTTCCTGGTCAGTGTTCACTGATAGAGCCTCCAATTCTGCTCAGTTGTATTGGTCAGCAGCTAACGCTACGGACAACAGTGGCACTGTGGTGTTTGTTACCTCAAATTATAACCCCGGGGACGTATTTCCGGCCAGTAATGTTTCCCATCAAATAACGTACACTGCAATCGATAAAGATAACAACGTGGGGAATTGCTCATTCTATATAACAGTTGAAGGTTTGTCAATTTTTATGTGTGACTTTGTTGGTCTTTACAGCAATAAATAATTATTACAAAAACAGTATGTTGATAATATTAATATGGATGTTACACTTTAATACACAATGCAAATGTTTAAGATTGAAAATTAACAAACTAATAATATCGCTGTGATGTATTATTTAAACCAAAAGTTCACAACCACGTGTCCACGGTCCCGTTTGGGGTCTTCAAAATTTTTTTATAAGGATCCGCCAAATCAAAGTGTCCACAGAGTGTCTACGAACACTGTTGGGGTCTGCTAGATTTTCAGGCAATTTTCTATTATTCTATTATCTGTCTCGTCTTACAAAAGTGTGATAAACATCTTACTGCTCATCATTAGAGTCTTTAATCTTGAATTAGCTTTAATGTTTTGATGTATTTTGTTGCCATTCATCTTCCATCTATAATCTGTGGAATATTACTGCTTAGACCTCGGAGTCCGTGAACACATTTAATCCTGAGTTCTGCGGGTGCAAAGCGATTGGAACCACTGATTTAGACTAAGATAGCCGAGAATATATGTAGTTGTGATAAAGAAACAAACCTTAATCTAAAATCAGCAATCGAATTTTCAAAAGTCTCTGTCTCTATTCAGAGTTACTGTGTTTTAATCTTATTTAAAGACCAGCTCGATTTGAATAATTAAACGTTCACAATTATCCACATTAAGCACGGCAATAATTACCAATACAAATATATACTTATGATTTATTTAGATTTGGAATCTCCATCAGTTGAATGTCGGTCTCACTTACATTCAAAATCTAATTTCTTAACATGGAACATTACGCTCAGTGATAACGTTGGAGTAGTTCACTGGATGGCAAACGACTCTCGTGTTGTGCCGTCTAATTCTACCCTAAATAACACATATATCACCTTACAACAAAATGGAACCTTTTCAGTTGGTACAAGTTTCATTGAATACGTGGTGAGAGATATGTCTGGAAACGTAGAGGAATGTTTACTTGCAATCACTGTCGAAGGTAAGAGTATTAGTGTAATTATAGTTAGTGCTTTATTTTGTTAAAACACCTTGTTCCATTTAGGATGAGGCAAAAACTGTTGTTACATCGAAGTTGGAAGTGGGTATCTGCTTATTCAATTGTGAAAATGACGCTGCCTCGACGCCGGTTAATGGACGCCTCTATCCTTTCCAAAGCAACTTTGATTCAATCATTTTGCACATCATATTTTAATCATTATTGCCTTTATTGTTGTTTGGTTATCTCTGATTCTGTGCGCTTTGTACCCTACGAAAAAGGAACGACACCAAACACATGATCATTTACATTATAATACATTATTCTATTTTTACGTCCTCCCAATGGTAACGTAACGATATTCGTGCTCGTACAAGAAATTGTAATGATTAAGTTTTAAAATTGTCTTAATAAGTTTTATATTATGTTTGTATTAAGTAATTTTTATATATTTCCTGACAAACTAAATTTTAACCACATTAATAAAATACATATAAGTTTTAAATATTTTCTCACTAATTTCGATTGTAATATAAACACACAGTGTAATGGAAATTTCCATATGTCGTTTTGTTGGCTTCATTCGTCTGACCGACTATTCCAGGGCCTCACCAGTGTCTGATTTAACGATAGTTACATTATCTTCTATTTCAGACTTGGAAAGACCGTCAATAATTTGCCCCAGTAATTTCTCTAATTACTATGATTATGTATTTGGTTTTCATCGTCTTGTTGCTGATTACGGTCAGTCATATGCAACAGTCACGTGGCCTTCTCCAGAGGTCAACGACAACAGTCAAGAGCCTATCACGTGGGAAAGTTTCCCATATAAATCAGGTGATAAGTTTCCTCTTCGACGGTTTCCACCATACACTGTACAATTCACTGCAACCGATCTGACTGGCAATAACAGATCCTGCTACGTATACTTTACAATAATAGGTAAGCAAACATGTTTTTAAGCATATACCGGTATACATACAAAATACGTAAATTTATTCCGCAGCATTGTTGTATTTTGCCCTCCAATTTATTTAAACGCATACCTTTATTTCTTTTACTATGTTATAATGCGCTATGTCAAGACACATAATATTACATTAAGTAGTATATATTTAATAATCCCTAAATAATATGTACAAAGAAATATATAGGCTTATAAATACCACATTGTTTAGCAATGATTTGTGTTATGTGTGTGTGTTACTTTTGCAATACATTCGGTGTATTTTCTAAGTTAAATTGTCATATTGTTTGATAATTATATGTTCAATAAAATATTTCTTTAAATTTCAGATGTCGAACCACCGATTATTACATGTCCAACAAATATCACAAATTACCACGATACTTACTTCGGCATTGTCAGAGCAGCCACGGATCCCGGTTCCTCTACAAGTAGTGTGACCTGGGATTACCCTACAGTGTCCGACAACAGCCAAGGAGTCGTGAATGTGAAGTCATCCTACCAGTCTGGCAATAGTTTCGCACCAAAATTGTATCCACCCTATGAAGTGGAGTTTACTGCTGAAGATGAATCCGGAAACAAGAATAGTTGCAAATTATATTTCCTTGTCACAGGCAAGTCTACAAGTTTTCACAACATTTATAAATATTAATTAGCAAAGGACTCACATGTTTTTGAGCCAACTTAGTGTGATTTTTTTTCCTTTGTTTTAAAAATATTTTATGATTGGCACGTTTGCCACCTTTGTTAGCAAAATGTAATCTTTTACTTAAGAGTGGCATAAATATAATATTATATTTATTCAACAGTGTTAACGGCTAAATCCCTTTAATATCATATATAATATACGATAGTATTTCTAGCCGTATTGCCAGATTTATCTGGCCGAACGCCCTCCTGAGGCGTAGCATTGTGAAATACAATGTTCCCGACGGTTATTTGGACCTGTTCAACCATGAAGCCTTCGTAGCCTGGTGGTTATGACGCTCGCCTTGTCAGCGAGAGGTCGCAGGTTCGAATCCCGTTGGAGGCATTTTATTACACAATGACATTTATAGGACTTTATTCGTTGAAAAGTTACAGGGCAGCCTACGATGTTCCGTATTAAATGGTATTACTATCAAATGTCGAATAGTTGTATATTAATATATATTAATTATTATTTACAGGAACCGTGAATGAGCAGACTATTAAATCTGATGTTTCGGTGGCTTCGTCAACCATGCCAAACGGAATATACACGGCTGAAGATACAAACAATAGTATTTCAACATTAGTATCAACTCCTTCAATACTATCCCGAATATCATTATCAACATCATTGTCATTATCATCATCGACGTCATTAACATTATCATCATCCTCATCCTCGTCATCATTATCACCATTATCATCATCCCCTTTAGCTACACCATCGCAATACTTTTCTTTACCATCTTCCTCCTCATTAATGTCTTTTTCATCATCATCACCACCACCACCATCATCAGTGCCATCATCTTTATCCTCATCTTCATTATTAACAACACAAACGCCATCCACATTACCATCAACTTTACTTTCATCTCAAATTGTTACCGATGAAGTCGTTAACACACTGCACCGCACTAATTCGATTACCGAAGATGATGACGTTAAGCATCAAACCCTCATAAATGACCAGGAAAATACTGTTCATCAAACAACTGACCAACAGCTGACTAATTTTTTTCAGTCAACAGACCCACAACCAACTGAATTTACTGATAGACAATTACTTAACCAGCATACAACTGAAAAACAATTTATTTCAAGACAATACACCTTTTATACCGATAAAGTTTCGGTAAATCAACAACCATCTGTTGATCCAGAAACTATTAACACATTTTCAACTGATCCACAATATTCTACCAAACAACAGTCAATTGAGCAAACAATATATTCACCGTCACAGAATACACTACTTAACAATCTGTCGACGGAAGAGACTGTTATTAACCAACGGTTTACTTCTTCGTCTATAAACTACAAAGTTTCCAGTTCGAAAAATGAAAATTCAGAACATACATTATATGAATTAAATTCAACTGTAGCAAATGAACTATCGGTTTCAGATAACCTATACAGAATGTCAGAAGATATTCTAAACAAATCTGCAACTTCATCATCACGAACTTCACGAATTGCAGATGAAGCCAAATTAAAAAATACGAAAAAAAATGGCAAGTATTTCATTTTCAAACATAATTATAATAATGTAGTATCAGTATAGAAATTGTATGTTAACCAACTACTGTTGGTGTCACTGGCAGTATCTAGAGAAGCTTACTGGGGACTATGAAGCACTACTAACCTCACTATGGGTACTACAACGTATACTGCTTTATGCCATTACCCATTGTATATTTGCAACATTGTTTTGTACCCTGTTTGATGCACTCAACACACCAATATAACTGACAGGTAATTTTCTTACAGGTATTGATGGTGTTACTATGGTGGTAATTTGTTTGAGTTTAATTGGAGGTTTATTGCGAGCTTCAATTAATAGGTTCCAAAAGTGGTCCTGGGGGTGAAGCCCCCGAAAATTTTGACAATTCAGGGGCTTCAAAGGCTTATTAAATCCCCCCGCTGTCGCCACCCCTGGTGGGGTTCAGGTGCCTGGGGCCACGGTGGGGTCGGGGGACTCTCATAATAATAGTACTATTTTACTACATGGCTAAAAAAAAAGCACAAATACTGCCATTACTACTGATAGGGCCATCGTTAAATTAAGTCAGAGCCCAAAATATAGCATAATTCGAAATTATTA